ATACATATGCACATATGTACATACATATGTACATATGTATATGTGTTTATGTATGTACGCTGTGCATATTTAAATATATATCTATATATATATATATATATCTATATATATATATATACATACATATACACACACGCACATGCATACATCCATCCATCCATCCATGAATGCATGTATGCATGCATGCATGCATGCATGCGTACATACATAAGTACATACATGCACACACACACACACACACCAACCCCAAACATGCAACCTACTTCGTACGTCGCCAACTCACATGACTACATCATCGACTGCTCCGAACCTTGCCCGTCACATCTATGTTTGGCTTTGCCTGCAAATATAGAATCCTCCAGCCCTAGACCCCATATACCCTAAACTAAAAACCTCAAACTCTATATCCCTCGAGGAATCCCGAAATTCTGGTCCTAAAACCGAAACCCTGCATCCTAAAGCCGTGCGAGGGGACGTGGCGCGTGGACCCCGACGCTCCTTCGCAGCGCACGGTCTCCAGCACTTCCCTCAGCTCGTGGCTTTTGAGGACACTGATATCTAAGAGGAAGTAGGGCTTATAGGATTTAGGGTTCAGGGTTTACGGTTTAGGATTTAGGGTTGAGGGTTTAGGGTTTAGGGTTTAGGGTTGAGGTTGAGGTTAAAAAGCATCTGTAGTAGCTTCATGAGGGTTTAAGATGTTGGGGGGTTGTAGGGTTTATGGATATTGCTTTTATCGTGGTCTTTCAAGCTTACAAGTTCTTTAAACTAGATTGGCTAGATGTAGACGTGTGCAAATAACATAGCAGCTAGCAAGCATATTGCGTATAGCCCTCAACCCCTGAACCCTAAACCCTCAGCCCTAAACCACAAATTCCTCAACCCTGAACCCTAAACCCTTAACCCCAAAGCCCTAAACCCCAAAGCCCCTAAACCCCAAAACCCCAAAGCCCCAAAGCCCTAAACCCTGAACCCCAAAGCCCTAGGCCGTGTTTGGGCTGAGGGCTTGGGGTTGAGGTCTCCGTGGCTTTGGGTTTAAAATTCGGGGTCTGCGTAAGTTCAGGGTTTAGGGTTTATGGCTTAGGGTTTTGGGGGTTTAGGGCTTAGGGTTTAGGTTTTTAGTGTTTAGGCTTGAGGGTTCAGGATAAGGCTATGAACTTTAATATCCCTGTGCTGTCTTTATGCCTTTCCTATTCGACGTACTCCGGCCCCTATATACATTGCGTTCTGAGCCCTCCGACCGGACTTCCATAGCCTGAAAGCGTAATCGGGGGAGTCGGGACAGTGGGGATTGTAATGCAGGGGCCTTAATAAGTAGAACAGGGTTTTGAGGTACACTATACTATACATATAATACAAGGCACCCCCCAGCATACAATTGGTAGTTATTTTGGCTTCTATAACAGGGTTCAGGGAGCACTGGGGGGTTTGGGGTTCAGGGTTTAGTTGCTTCTAGGCTCTAGGGTCTAGTCTAGGCTTCCATGTGCAAGTTGATGTCTTCACCGCAGCATTGCCGCAGGTTGCGTGCATAGGTATACGAACTAGATAGGCATGTACGTGCCTGCTCGTAGAGGACATGGATCTCCAGCGTTGTGTATGATTTGTGCACCGTTTGTTTGACATCGAGTTCACTTCGCCATGGCTTCTGTCATATCTATGTTTGGCGCAGCTGCCGCCCGACTGCCAATGTCGTGGGTTTAAATTTACGTGGTTCACGAGCCCTAAACCCTTCAACCCTAAAAAACAAAAGGAGCACTGAGATTTTCAATTTGCATCAAGCAGCCCCTTAAGCTACCATGACCTTTTTGTAGCTCCTTGTTTATGAACCCAAATATGGAATTTATAAGGACCCTGAAAGATAGAGTTGCTAGGTCAGGGCAAGTATCTCAGAAGGCCCGTATTCGCACCTTGTCCCGAGCGATTTAAGCTTGACATGCCAGGTGCAGTCGCTGCTAAACCCTGAACCCTAAACTCTAAACTTTGAACCCTACACTTCCTTCTGCAGCCTTTTTCAGCAACGTCCTGGCAGCCGCAAACCCTGATAGAGCTCTTCAAGTAACCGCGAAAGAAACCTTTTCAGCAACCTTACATCCTAAGCCCTACAGGGTCCCTGTAATAGGTTTAGGGTCCAGGGTTTAGGGTAGTAAAGATGGAGTCTCGTCAGTATAGGTTCGAAGGGGAGATTTGACTACCTCAAGCCCCCCTTGAATCTGCAGGAACAACCCAGAACCCTTAACCGTCCCTAAACTCTAAAACCCAAGCCGTACAGCCCCCCTCGAAGCTGCAGGAATAACCCTGAACCCTTAACCGTCCCTAAACTCTAAATCCCAAGCCATAAAGCCCTGCAGCCAGAAGTTGGATCCGTGTTGCGATGTTTTTGGGTTCGGCTTCGAACCCTCAAAGCCAAACCCTAAACTGGACCCTCAACCCTAAACCGCCAAACCCCAAAGAGCCACAGTTTAGGGTTTGGGGTTTGCGGCTTTTGGGGTTTCGGGTTTAGGGTCAGAAACATACCTGTACCTATCGTGCTAGCAATCTATCTATCTGTCACTGTCTGTCTACCTATCTACCCGTCTGTCTTTCTATCTAGTGTCTATCTATCTGGCTATATATCTATATCTATCTGCCTACATAGGTAGATGTGTGTTTATGTGTTTGTGTATATCTATGCATTTAAACTGGGTCCTTGTTGGATACCATTTTACATGTTTGTTATCATTAAACCCCATGTAAGGACTAAAAATGATCATTTTTGATATAGCCCTAAACCCTAAACCCTAAACCCTAAGCCCTAAACCCTAAACCCTAAACCCCTAAAGCCCTAAAGCCCTAAACCCTAACCCTAAACCCAGTATATGCTTTCAAGACAAGACGTGAGCTCCCATCCCAGGAGAAGAAAGTGGAAGAGGCTCGGGACGAAGCCCCGCGGGACTAATATCTGTCCGGTCCAGGGCCAGGGTGTCGAGGTTAGGGTCAAGGGTTTAGGGTTTAGGGTTTAGGGTTTAGGGTTTAGGGTTTAGGGTCAAGGGTTTAGGGTTTAGGGTTTAGGGTGTCGAGGTTCGGGTCAAGGGTTTAGCGTTTGGGGTTGAGGGTTCAGGGCGTCGAGGTTAGGGTCAAGGGCTTAGGGTTTAGGGTCTTGATTATTTGTTGCTACTACTGCTACTACTGCTACAACAACAACAACAACAACAACTACTACTACTACTACTACTACTACTACTACTGTTATGAATGCTAGTAGTATTAATTTTATTGGTTTTGCTGGCACTACCAGTACAGAAAATATGAATAGTAATAGTTGTTTCAGTTCTGTTGGTTATTGTTTCTCCTAAACCCTAAACCCTAAACCCTAAACCCTAAACCCTAAACCCTAAACCCTAAACCCTAAACCCTAAACCCTAAACTAGACTTACCAATGCCATCCCTTAGGGCTCCGCATCTCTACGAGAACATGCCACAAAGCCCCCCCGCACTCATTACTGAGGCCCCTATCAAGGCTGCGAGTGCTCGACTACTTAAAGGATCATGGGACTTAGTAAGTAGGGTTATAATTAGGGTAACTATACTTATAACCCCAATTAAGGGACCTACAAACCTTACTTACTAGGTCCCATGATCCTCCAAGTAGCGGCTTTCGTGTTTAGGCGCTTTAGGGCTTGGGGTCCGAGTGACCAAATCGAGGGTTTTCAGGGTTCCTGCTTGCTCTTACAGGGTTCTTACAAAGTTCGATGTTCCTACGTGGCTACTTGAACACTTCAGGTGAACTGTATTTCTGCCCGAAGGCGATGTGTCTATGAGTTCCATGGTCTAGAATGTTCTGAATCCCATTTGTGAGAAGGTATCTGGGACATCTGATTCAATTATCGCAATATTTGGAATTACTGTTATCTCGTTGGTCTCTTTGTGGTATTCGGCCCCAACCTCTTTGTACCGCCCAGTATCTTGCTGACCAGCTATGTACCTGAATGACTTGATCTCGATGTCTTGATGTTTCAGGCATGCTGGCTGCCTGTCTCTCAAACTAGGTGTATGTATGTACGTGCGTATGTATATGTATGTAAGTGTGTGTATATATATATATACACTAACTTATACGCAAAACTATGGTTTTGTTTACACCTATGTATATATATATATACACACATTTATCTCTCTTCGTATATATACATATACACATGCACACATATACATATGCGCACACACACATGGTTGATAATACTTTCGCTGCTGATTCTTTGGGTTTAGGTTCAGGGGTTTAGGGTTTCGGGTTTAGGGTCCTTAAGGTATCTGAATGATTTGTATATAACTTGGTATGGTTTGATTCCCCTATAGTCCCTTTGTAGATACACTATACCCCCAAACAAAATAAATATGTTTCGCTTCAAACCCTACCAGCACTCCATATCATCCTTTCAGAAGCCTGCAAAAGCCCTTACTTAAGATTAGCTCCCCTTACTTGAGCCCGCAAAACAAGCGAAAAGCCTCTAACAACCCATAGAAGCCTTTTGCACACATATCAAGTCACGGTATAGGGTGTAGGGATTAGGGTTTAGGGTTTAGTTTGTTGGAACCCAAAGCCTAATGAATCTGTATACAACCAGTTCAAAAGCTGAACAACAAACAGCCTTACACAACAACGAGAAGAATCCTATGAAACTAGAGGAGCCTGTGCCTTCGAAACCCAATCTCTTTTGCTAGAGCCCCATGAACCATTGCAGTATAGAAGCATATTTCTATACTGTTGTACTACACGTTTAAAGCCTAAATGCACAAAACAAAACCCCTAACCCGAAATCCACGACCCTAAGCCCCAAGCCCGAAACCCCAAACCCCTGCACCCCAAACCGGCGCAAACCCGAAACACTAAACCCTAAGCCCTGAACCCTAAACGCCTACAACCCCCTCAACCCAAAACCCAAAGCCCTAAACCCCTAAACCCTAAAAAACCCTCAACCCTAAACCCGTAATCCTTAAACCAAGAAACCCTGTCGCAGGCCGCCAAGGAGGCAGGCGAAGCGATGAGTACCATGGCCACCGCCGTGGAGGCCCAGTTTCTAGGGGTTCTGGATTCCCACGGTTTAGGGTTTAGGGTTTAGGGTCTATAGGGTGAAAGGGGTTCAGGGTTTAGGGTTTATAGGGTCATAGGGCTTCTGGTATCATTGAACATTGAAAAGGGGTTTATAGGTTTATATATAGGGGGGTCCATAAGGGTTCTACATGTAGCTATATATCTATAGAAGATCTGCAAAGGTTCTTTACATATACGTACATAATATATATATATATATATATGTATGTGTGTGTATGTGTGTATATGTATATATATATATATATTGGACCCATGCGGTTTTTCTTTCTCTCTCGCTCTCTAGCTCTCTCTTCTCTCTCTCTCTCTCTCCCTATCTCGGTATATATATATATATATGTACCAATGGATGGGATCTATAAAGGTTCTATATATAGGATCTACTTGTTCTGGTGAGGTAAACAGAAGATATGCCGGAGATTGGGCTGCAAAGAGAGTGCCTGCGTGGTTCCATAAGGGCTGTTATGAGGGGCTGTTGTCGGGGTTTCCGAACCTGTTAGCTCGTTGTGATCGTGGAGAAAGTAACTATCAAAAACTTGTTGGAGTATATCCTTCCTCCCAACGGCTCGCTTGGTAGGCATTTTCCTCCTAGGAAGCTGGACATGTAAGTTTCATGGAAAGCTCGTAGGGTTTTGGGGGGCTTGAGGGTTTCGGGTTTAAGGTTTATAAGGGGTTTAGTTTAGTAGGGTGTGACTGTTTGGATTCAGGGCATTTCGGACTGTCGGAGTTCCGGGTTGGGGGCGTTAACACCTGAAGGTTAAAGGGAATTGCTTGAGCTTTCCTATATAAACCCAGAAATTTCAATCGCCCTGAAGACAACATTGCCTTAGTGAAACTGTGCCTTTACAAGACCCAAACCGCCGATGCCGCTGCTCTCTCTCTCTCTCTCTCTCTCCCACTAGGGTACATGCGCACGCACGCGCATGTGTGTGTGTGCACACGCTTGAGGATTTCTTACTTGGAAGTCATGTCTTCGGGGGTCCTTTTGTTGAGAGTTCTATTGCTACTCTGTGTCATTGCCCTCTTTTCGTTTATAAAACTCCGACATTTGCCTCAATGTGTGTCCGGCATCGAGTTCCACGGGTTCTACGCTGAGCTGCGAGCTTTCCGTCTTAGGGCGTGTGGGTTGTGGATCTAAAACTATAAACCTCCCCCCATCAAACGCCACAGTTAATCCACATGTCTTGATAAACTCAGATAGGTAATACGACGTTGTACGTAAGGAAACACCCTAATTGTGAGCTTTACCGGAGATTAATGGGGGTCGACCGGGTCGGGGGGTCGGAGGGGATGGGCAACACTGTTCACCGGGATTGTGCCAGAATAGCTTGATATACGTAAACTGTTATCATATACCCAAAAAGCCTATGCTCATCATAGATTAATAACCCCGCAAACCCACAACCGCTATAGTGACCCTTAAACCCTAAACCCCTAAACCCCAAGCCCTAAACCCTTATAATTATGGAGATCCCTCACCAAGCTCGAATTATTAAGGCCCCCATGCTTGGGGTACTGCCCCTACTCTGTAACAGTTGGATGATGTTTGTAATCTGCCCTAGCCCTCCAGGTGCCTACTATATAGGGCCCCAGGGCCTCGAGTAGCCTCTATAGTAGGTACCCGGGGGGGTTAGGGCTGATTATATGATAGCCCTCAAGGTGACTCCGGATTTAAACTGTTGCAAGGTGTAGACAGTAGCCAACCCATGCTAACGCCCCAAACCCCCAAACCCTAAACCCCGAAACCCTAAACCCTAAACCCTATACCCTACACCCTAAACCCCTGAGCCCCGAAACCCTAAACCCAAACCCAGAACCGCTAAACCCCGAAACCCTAAACCCCTCCACCCCTAAACCCTAAAACCCTAAACCCTAAAACCCTAAACCCTAAACCCCGAAACCCCGAAACCCTAAACCTACTTCTCTGCGGCATCAGGAGCAGGTCTCGGCGGCTGCACACACAGTGGAGGACCTGCCGAGGATTTTTGGGCTTTGGGCTTTGGGCTTAGGGTTTAGGGTTTAGGGTTTAGGGTTTAGGGTTTAGGGTTCAGGGTTTAGTGGCTTAGGGCATTGGGGTTGAAGGGTTTTGCAAGGGATGGTTTAGTGCTCTGAGGGAGTGCGGGC